TATAGGAGATTATGCAACTTCATAGAGTCTTTTTGTTAAGGTAAAATTTGGTGCAAGAAAGTAAATAGGTTTTTATGTTCCTATAGATTTTCTTAGGCGTAAGATTTCTAAGTTTTTTCCGCTCGGTTTTTCTTCTTTTCTTTTAATCAAATGCAGGAACAAAACTTGGAAAATTCATGCCCAATAGTTTCTGTGGAAGAAATCCTAACAGAATAAATTATCTAGAAAAATCAATGGATTTTTTTCTACAAACAAATATCTATTAAAAATGCAGGGGAAAGTTGCATAATTTTCAATGGAATTGACGCAAAAAAAATAGAATTTTTCAATAGAATTGCAATAAAACTTAAATAGAATTCTTATAGAGCTCCAATAGAAATTCAATAGGAATTCTTAGAGAAAGTGCCAGGTTTTATATTCGATGACAGAGGGAAAAATCAGTAAATTTCAAATTTTATAGAAAGTTCAGTGGAATTCCATTTTTTTTTATAGTAAGAAGACAAGGATTTTCCAAAGTATTCAAATTTTAAATCGATCTTCTAAAAATGCATAAATATCATTCTCCACCCTCCACTCGAAACGACACAACTCAATCGGAGCTGAGTTCTGAGCGTTGAGCCACAGCTCAAACTCAAGTGCTGGGCATATGCCGTCTGATGAGGGTTCGACTGTGAGCCGGTATGGAACGGCGTGTCGCGGCGTGAACTCGCGTCAAGCGGCAAGCCGAGGCTGAGCTCGCGCTCACCCGAGTTGCGGCTGAATCCCCGGTTGAATTTCTACCCGGGATGACGGACACTTTCATTTAACACTCCGTGGGTCGCGCTATGAGCGCCGCGCCGTACTTTTTCTGATTTTTTAAATTACACTGCAGTAAAGCCTCAAAAAAATTTGAAAAAATTTGACATCTCATTTTGTAGTTGGTAGCAATTGGATTTTCAAATTTGTATTCCGAAACTCCGGTCCGGTACCGTATATAAGGTGAATTTTCAGAAAAACATGGCAACTTTAAGCTTGAATATATAATTAAGGATAACACTGAATAAAAAATCTCGCTGGTCTTCTTTAAGGATACGGTCTAGATCACTCTTGATTTTTTTCAGATTTTTCCTAGATCTTTCAAATTTATCATTATGTCAATTTATGCTAGTGCGTCGCGGCACTTACGGCGCGACCAACGGCAACCGTAACTTTTGCGCGACCGACAGAGTGTTAACATGAAAAAAAAAATTTCTCTATTCGAAATAATTTGTTTTCTTTAGGAATTTCGGGAAATCTGTTGTTCTAAAAACTACAATAGATTTTCAGACACTTCAATTGACAAAGCCAAATTTTTTCGAATTTTTCCGGTTCGCCAGTCAATTGTAATTAAAGAAAAATGACGCGCGGCGGGATTTCCCTCATATGGTGACCAATCTAGGGTTAAGGATGTGTGTCCGCAACAGCAAGCATTCCATAATTTTTTTTTTAACGGATGAACAGAGTCGTTTTTCCTATTGACAACAAATTAAATCCACTTATTAAAACTGATTATACAAAAATAAAATCGATAATATGCATCAAATAGAGGTCAATGTTTGGGCATTCTCCATCATTGGCCTGAAAATATGAAATTTTTTGATATTTTCCTCTATTGTAATTTTTTTATTTTTGGAGTTCTTCAATAGATGAGCGAATTCTGGACATGAAATTTTTGTATCACTCATTTTTCTCCCTTTGGATTGTATTTTCCGATACAAGTAGAAAACAACATTAAATTTTGAGGCAATTTTTCGTATACAGAATTGGCGGATTCGCTCAGGAAAATAATAAATTGGAGAATTACTCCCGTAAGAGTCTGTGTATAAAGGAAAATTTGTTCATTTCATTTCGTCAGAGCAGTTGCAAGAAATATCTTACAAATATGAAAAATTATAGATTTTCGAAGGATGAATAAACATTTTTAATCATGCAATTATTCAAACTATTCGAGTGAAATAGTCAAATTTATAAAAGAACAATATTACGAATATTTCCAATTTGAATAATAATTTCAATATTTTTTTCCGGAAAAAAATTCAAAGACATTCACGAATAATGATTTCTAAGAATGCATTTTCATGTGCATTGATAAAAATCAGTCGTCTACGAAAAAAATTGAGTCATTTTTATTATGTGTGAAGCACTATAAATAAATTGTTAAAAATTGATGAGTCATACCGCCACCTCGAGATTACGTGTATAATCTTTGTTATGTACTTGTTTCGATCTGAATACATTTATTTGGAGCAAGCGAGTGACTCACTGTACTCAACTCCATCGCTATTCATATTTATTGATTTTTTAAATCGATAACATTGGAACTGTTCGCACAATTAAGTTAACAAGGCAGGTCTGACAATGACAAATCTGATTCACCTCTATGGATTATCGATTGAACCTGACACGTCATACTAATTACCACTTTCAATCATCAGCTAACGATATTTCGTCGATTGATTTTCACTCGTGGGTGGAATCTCTGAATGGTGAATGGAAATTCGAAATGTGAAATAATATCGATGATACCACGTAAGTAATATTGTGAGACACTGCTCTCACGTTTTTCTATTATTGAACCATTGTTGTGGCTTTGTTTCATTCTGGAATGATTCTTCGTGAGATACACTGAGATAAAGGTAAAACAAAAAATCAAATCGAAAAATGAGACAATTTTTTTTTATAAATTGCATAAAAAGCATTTTTTAAATCGAATTTCTCAATCTAATTTGAGGATTGAATCATTTTTTTCGAAACCTAGATGGATTTAGTCACGGAGTTAATCCATAAGAAACACTTTTGCGTCTGACATCTTAATTTAAGACACTAGTTTTTTCAGTGTAAGTAATCAATAAAATTCATTCCTTCAATTTTAAAATAATACTTATTTTCTCCTACTATTTTCATCAAATGCGTCCAGTAAAAAAATATGAATAAACTGAGTTTTCCACATGAATAAAAATTCTCATTATTAATAATCAACGCAATAATTTTATCTATATTCTACTAGGGAAAGATGAGGCAAAATGGAACCTTTATCATAGACTCAAAATCGAAAAACGCGGCAGCGTATCGGCCAAGGGAGCCTATTCTCGAATTGAAATCGCACGTTCGACTTCAACAAATCGCATACGGCCCATAAGGCGTACCACATGTCGCATGCGACCTATCGAAATCGAACGCACGATTTCAACTCGAGAATAGACTCCAAGGAAAAATTTTGACTCTGACTGTGCAAAACTGGTCAAACGCTGCCATATATCTATACACGAAGCTACTCCACCCTCCGCTGCTTCAGAATCATATTCATCAAATAAAATGCAATCGTAACAAGCTACATGAAAAATACTCTTAGTTAGATTATACAAATCGGCCACAAGCTTCTCATTGATGTAACTATTTTTTTGTTCGAATCAATACTTAAAAAATTACGCGCATCATAGCAACGGGTTCATATGCACACTCTCGCATTTCACATTATCTTCTGTCATTTTTTGTTACGGAGTTTTAGCAGTGCAGTACAACCATACGTACCAAGGAGGGAGCCCGGGAATTTACAAATTGAATTTGGTGCATGAATGATAAATTTCACTAATATTCAATTGAATTGTGCATGAATGAATTCTCAAAAGTTATGGGTTGAGATTCAGTAGAATTTCCTGTTTGGTGAGGGGAAAAAAAATAAAACATAGTTTCCATTCCATTTTGGAAAATAGAAATAAAAGATGGGGACAGAACCATGTGGCCGTTTTGAAAAAATCTTCTTAAAGAACAAAAATAAATGTTTTTATAAAAAAACTGTGCCACGGAAAAGTTTTATTTAATTCTTACTGAATTGTGTTTAAATGAAAAGAAATGAAAAAAAAAGCAGTTAGCAGTGTCCAGTTTTTCAACTCACTGTGGAGTGTCTATCTAAACCTCAATCTTCTGATCCGCGCTAACACAGTAAAAAATGAGAGTGAATTTCCACACTGAGTCCATACCAAAAAGAATGAAAACCAGTCCATCCCGATTTCGGTGTGGATGCACTGAGCACATTAATTCTGGAGTTAAGTAATGATTGGAGTGAAAATTGACACCACCATAGTGTCAACATGAACATGGCAATCAAAACAGTTTGATATTAAAAATAAAAATCCACTCTGTACCAAAAGTTGACTCAGGGCTTAAGGCGAAGTGAACTCCCAAAAATAGTTGATTTTAACACCGAAATCTTTAACCCCTCGCACTGAAAACATTAACACTGAATTTTTTTACTGTAAAGAACGTTGGTCCTGCTTCTACTGATTTTTTATTTCATAGATGTTTGACCGTGTCCTATGGCTATCTATTTGCCATTTCTGACTCGACTTTTTTGAAATTTCTATGAATTTTTCAAAATTTCTACTGTTCAGTAAGCATCAAACAAAATTTTTCCTTGGCGCAGTTTTTTTTTACAAAAATCCCAATATGTATTTATTAACAGCGATATCAACGATTAAATTTGATCATAAACCTTCCACTGCCCCACCCGCCCCTATTCTCATTCTCAGTGTATCTGTTGTCATAACATTAAAATTTGATTCGTGAGTAGCACACATACATATTATAAGTATACTCCTGACCCTTGTTGTGAGGATGGTAATCAATACCATTGTGTGTACTCTTATAACACTTGGGAGTTTCCAGTTCTTTTTTCACCTAGTGGTATTGTATGGAAGACGGGGTTAACGAGCGGCCAGCCGCAAACCACTGAACCTCCCTCAACTTTTTCTGTCCACCCCAGAAATCGCTGAATAACTCAAAGGCCTTGATTGCCAAATAAATAATTAACTATGTTAATCTAATGTTTTGATTCGTTCTCTTGATCGATCAATCATGTCTGAATCGTGAAAACACTCGTCCGTCGTCACACGAATAGAGACAAGGGCGAATTTCAATATCAGAGGAGACGTGAATTTTTTTTTTGCTAGAAATTTCTCTTGAGACCTAGAGATCCGACTGAGATGTTGCGAGGGTACTCTCAGCCGTTTCCTCCCGCCGTCATAAAGGTCGAGTCACTTCACCGCATTCGCAGTGGACAGGGTGCCCTCTACGGTCCACTCGGTTGCTTATAGAGTGATCACTGTAATCAGAATAACAGATAGAATAGTTGAATGGAATTCTTTATCACAATTGTTATAGAATCAAGTATTGGAGTTATTTTACAGTAGTATGAACACATTTTTTTGAAGGACTTGATTAGTCCACACGCTCTGCGCGGGTATGTCCTACTCCATGGAGCTCAATGTATGTCAATTGTGGTGAATAGTGTTATAGTAGATTTCTCATAAATGTTGATAGTATACATTAAAGATATTACGATAATACTATATTATATTATATTCTATATTATACTATATTATATAAACTATGTATAACATACAATATATAATAGAGTACTATATGTATTATAAAATATAATGTAGGTACTAAAAAAAATTAAATAATAAACTTGTAACAATTATAACATTACTTTGAGTATACGATATTATGGTATATTACATATACCATTATATATGCCTAATGTATTATAATGTAGTATAGTATATAATATAATGTAGTATTATCGTAATATCTTTAACGTATGTTGTCATCATTTATAAAAAATCTAATGACACAATACACCGAATAGATTGGCTTCAAAAAACGTTACACTTGATTTTTTATTAAAGGATATCCAAGTATTTCGTTGAAGTTATAGCAACTTTTTTCAAGCAAGATGTCAGTTTTGCCGAAAATTTTGATATTCCCATACTTCTTCGGATTTTCCAGTTCTCAATACATTTTTTTGGGAAGTTCTTTAATTGCCTTCAGAATCTGAATTGTTACTTATTTTTACCGTGGATTGTTAATCACGAGGTGCCGGAACTGGGAGAACTAATCAAACACCAATTAAAGAAAACGCTATTTAATTGCACAACTCAAGTTATATAGACTTTAGTTACTCAATCAACGCGAATCTCACGGACGGAGCCCTTCTGTTACCAAGCGTAGTGTGTACTCAATACGACTCGAATTCGATTATTTCTAATGGATGGAAAATTATGAAACCGGTATCTAATTGAAGCTACAGTATTCCGGTTTCCAATTTTGTTTATCTGATCAAGTTATTCTTCATAGATTTGGAAATAATCAATTCAAAAACAAGCGTTCACATTCGCATGGTTCGATGCCATGCATCGAGCCCGTACGTGATGGGTTGAAGATTAAAATCTGATGAAATTTTTACATGCAAGTTAATATGAATAACAACAGTCAAATGGAATTTGTGCTTAATCGACAGTCTAATTTTATTGATAATAATCCAGTTAGAAGTGCGGAATAACATAATCTAATGAGAAAGTTACCTTTCCAAGATTAAGAAGAAGATTACAATCTAGAAAAAAACTTGAAAGATAAGTAAAAGAGGGAATGAACAAAAACTCTATGTCCAATATCAAAATTACCAAATAAAAGTCATATAAAAGTGTCGAAATTTTATTATAAATAATTTATGTTTCTAGATACCCTGAAATCGCGTGTCATGGAAATGTGGCAACATTGCGTTGGTGGGGCGCTGGTCATGCCATAGAGGAGGGAATATCTCCGGATGTACAGCGTTGCCGCTGATAAAAATACCCTAGTCAAACGCCGGAATATTGGTTCAGCAAATGTTGATAGAAAATTGATGGCTTGATTTTTTTAACTCATCACAGTAAGAATTCATACAACAAATGATCAGTGATGAATAATTGTTTTTTCAAGCATTTGTAATTTATTTTTTCGCGTTACCATCAACGACTTCCAACTGGAGTACATTCATACTACTTTTTTTTTTTTTTATGCTTATTTTATATCGCTTCGAGTCTGATGAGACTATATGGCGATTGATCAAGACTTTAAAAATGGTTAGATCTCACCATTCTACCCGGCCAGGAATCGAACCTGGAACCTATCCGTTGTGAGGCAACGGCCTTAACCACTACGCCAGGCCACCGGGATTCATACTGCTTTAAATCAATGAATGTTACACGGAGCGGAAAGTTTAGTGTAGCAATTACGTGAAAGTGAGGAAAAGACGTAATCGAGGGCCAAAGTTTCTCTTTACATATTTTTATTTGGATTCTGGTCGAAATGTGACGCAACGCAGGAGTTTTTCCGCTATATTCAGAGACATTTAGTAAAATGTACAATAAGTGGATTTTTTAACTGAGAAAATACACGAAAGGAAAATAAATGTCACTGTTTTCTCAAAAAAATTTTATTCTCAGAAAATATTGCAGTAACATTTCGTTAGTTTATCCAAAAAAACAATGACTGGATCAACACGGAAAAATTTGTATTTTGAAAAATATATTAAAATATATCTTAAATTGGCCGAATTTATAGAAAAAAATATAAATATTTACACATTTTTTATATATTCTTTCTAAATTTGAAAAATACATGGAATTGGCCCGTATTACATATTTTTTTATAATTTTTTTGATGGGGGTACTCTAGTGTAAAAGTCTCAATTTTTGAAAGAACAGGACATTTTTCATACCTCAGGGCTATTGATATCCACTTCTACTCACAATATTCTCACATCGTTCTCTGAAATTACAGAGGAATTTAATATTTCCTATAAAATTTCACCCAAGGTGCAGTGATTCATGAAAAATATTGATCTGTTTATCGTTAATTTTCAGTTGATAACGGAAAATTCGAAGAGTGAATGTAATTTTCGAGGATCTTTTATCGAAACATTGGGACAAAAATATTTCGTGATATTTAAGAATATTTTTGAGCATTAAGGGTGATGTTGAAAAACGCTTCACTTTTTGCGCGAGAATGTAATTATAACACAATGTCTCAACAATATGGCCTTTTTTACCCCCGATGTCAAACCAAAGGAAGGGGTATATGCTTTTGACATTCGGCAACTTGACTCTGCAACGTCGTAGTCCAGACGAAACTACATGGAAAACGATTCGAAAAAATGAGTTCTTGTATTAGAATATTAGAAATGATGAAAACACTCCGCGGAATCGAACGACGAAGCCCTTTTTTGATTAATTACTCTATTGTACCCAGCGTGGCGGGTACTTAGAAATATAGTAGGTTCTACACGGACGAAAAAATTTAATAGAAAAATCTATCGAATTCGTTAAAAAATTCTATTGAATTTCTATTGAACTGTTCTATTAGTTTTTGGCCGATTCTATTGAAATGTTCAATGGAAAATATTCAGTAGAAAATGTCAATAGAATTCAATTTTTCTATATAACTTGTTTTATTGAGATATTTTCTATAGAATTTCCTCGGCTCAAATTTTCTAAGTTTTTTCGTTTGATTTTCTTGATGAGAAGAAAAGAAAAATAGAATGAAAAAAACGTAGAAAATTCGAGTCGAGCAAATTCTATAGAAAATATATGAAAAGAGTAAGTTATATAGAAAAATCGAATTCTGTTAACTTTTCCTATTGAATGTTTTCTATTGAACATGTCAATAAAATCAGCCAAAAACTAATAGAAAGTTTAATAGAAATTCAATGGAATTTTCTAACGAATTCGATAGGTTTTTCTATTAAATTTTTTCGTACGTGTAGGCTTGAAGAGGTAAATCCCACCAATGGCTTATCGGCATTTAAATATGAGAATTTATTAAATGATTATAATTACTGTCATCTGACTGATTACAAAGAGTTAACGACTTTTGTACGCATCGGAGTCCAATTCAAGTCTGATCTGTGCAGACTCAACCGTCTCTTAAACAATAGATAGATTGTTTGCATTTCATCACTTGGTCAACATAATCCAGTTACACTGGCAAGTGTTACGTGACAATGCTGTATGTCCACATATTAAACAATAACGCAATTGACCAAATCTGGGACATAACAACTCCGTTTTTCTAGAAAGTGTATAAAAAAATGATTCCATAAAGGTGACGACCGATTTCAATATTGAACCGTCATTCCCTAGCAAGCACAAACGAAAATGGATTGGTAACATTGAAATTGCATTCATACTCCTGATTCTGCGCGAAAGACTCAAATTGAGAATAATCACCTTGAGAGGAATCGAAGGATTAAATTATGTAGGAAAGGGTAAAAAACTTAAAACTGGAAAATTGAAAATTAAAAACCCCCGACGAAAAAATTGTCAATTAATTTATTTAAAAAGTGGAAAATCAAAAAACGAAAAAACTGAGAAACTAAAAAATGGAAAATTAAAAATTCCCGACGGAAAAATTTTCAATTGACTTATTTAAAAACTGAAAAACCACAAAACGGAAAAACTGATAAATTGAAATTTTGAAAACCCCCGACGAAAAAGTTATCCTCAAGTAATCTAAAAAGAGGAAAATAAAAAGTCAAAATTTCAATTAGATGAATTTTAGAGAAACCGAGATTTCTTTTGTAACAGAAAAAAACAGCAGAAAAAAGTCGGGATGACACCAACATTTTCGTGACTCAATGTGTTTTTCTGACTTTTTTCTGCTGTTTCCTCTGTTACAAAAGAAATCTCAGTTGCTCTAAAATTCTTCTAATTGAAATTTTGAGTTTTTATTTCCCTCTTTTTAAACTACTTAAGGTTAATTGTAGTAGCGAGTAAGGTCTTTAAAACAGATCCTCATCAACGTGCATTCTCCAGATGTGAAACTATCCACCCAGAAGTCAGCCTTGATTAGATCTTTCGTACATAAACCAAAATTACTAGTTCTAGTATACACATTACATTGGATCAAATAGCTATAATAAATCGCAGGTATCTACTAGCAAACACTTAACACATAATAAACCTATAACACCCATTATAATATACGTGTTTGCTCTACAATAACTAAACGTCAAATTGCAGAGCAATAACAAAGTTGAAATAGAATTAATGAATATATGAAACTCAGAGTATGGAAGACATTTGGATTGATACCATTAATGCATAAGAGTACCTACATTTATTACTACGGAGAGCTGGAAAATTACTGAACAGTCCATTATGCTGCCGCAGAGAGTTTCTGAAGCATACTTTAATCTACATAACATTATCACCTCCGTAACATCCGAGCTGCGTACAAAGGACACCCTGATGAATTATTGAAATTTTTATGAGGAGATTT